ACGATAAATTATCGTTCATGAAACGCGAATCGTTCATAAATCGTCGAAAGTTCGACAGACTTCCTGCATTTCATGGAGACATATGTTAATTCTACAGATTGAGTTATGTGGAAACGAGCTTCGACAATGCGTAAAATTTTCAGTTCACAAAATAAATTTCACGTAGTGACAGCCTTGAATGGAGTTATATAACGTGATAAAATTGCATTACGTTGGGAATTATTTTCGATGATTTAAGAATAATATAATTTGTTAATTAGGTCAGATGTAAAATAAATTACCGCGCGAAAAAACCAAAACAACTATGCAAGGATACGCATCACGGATACATTACAATTATTTTTTTTAAGTTTCCGAATCCAAATGACGTTTACGTGTTAAATTAATCAATATTTTCAACATAATTAGTCCGCAAGAATTATTCATGTAGGCAGAATTTAATACAGAGAGTTAAAACCGTAATTTACGATAAATTGTTGCTACTACTATCTACTATCACCATGTTCTTTATTTCATCGCAACGATAAAAGAATATATGGCTCGTATTCTTATGCGACGATAAGCCGCGGAACGTTCAAGTCTCGCGTTACTCAAAATGATCGCACGGTCAACCATCACGCTGAGATATCTCACAACGAGAATCTATAATCGAAATCACGTTACATTTTCTCTTTTACCGCGATAAATCATACAATCTCCATGAAAATAAAATGAAGAAGAAAAAGTAAACGAAAGAGGAAGGGTAGCTACGAGCCGTACCTCTTATCACTGACGAGACATCCTTAGGCCGGTAATCCGCGTACTTCTTATCTTATCCGCGATATATACCTGGGTTCCCCTTGCGCAGAAAATCTGGAGCACTCAGCTCACTCAGCCGCACAAAGAGACTACTCACAGACACGTGGAAACACACACATACGTATCACACACGCATACGCACGCACGCACGCACACACACGCACGCACACACACGCACACACACACACACACACAAAGCATACGCGGCACCGGCACGGGAAAAGTTTTTCAAGCGTGCACGTCGCCGTCGCAACGATAAAACCGGACGGCGCGTGTGATATCGGCGAGACTCCGCGAAAAAGCGACCCGCGCGTGCCGGCAAGCCGGCCGTGTAGGAGCGGGTATTTCGAACGCGCACGGGATGCGCACGACGTCGGCAGTGCCAACAAATCGAAGCACTTGGATAAAAGACCGAAAGACGTCTCTTTACCGACCCGAATCTACCCGAATGGCTAGGGTTACCATATCTGAATCTGCAACAGTCACTGCAACAGTCTTGGAAAAAAAAAAAAAAAACAAAGATTATCCGGTGGGGATGGTAGCAGAGAATATTATAATTTTTTTTATACGTTATCCCTGCTGAAAATTTTTCTCATAATTTTTATACGAATTGAAACATTTTTTCAGAAATACTCAGAAATATTCGGAAAGTTTACATCTTCTCTCAGAACTTCTCATATTCTGAAATTTCTCATCCTATAATTTTTAAAAAGTACTTAAAAATTTTTTAGATTTTGTAACATTTCATCAGAAATTATACTTATGAAAAATCTTAAAAATCTTACGATATTTCATAATTAACATATATGAAAAATTCTGAGAAAAGATGTAGATTTTCTGAAAAATGTTCCAATTCGTGTAAAAAATGTGAGAAAATTATAAAATTGTAGAGAAATTCTGAAAAATTATATAGAAATTCTAAAAAATTTTATGAAAATTTCCGAGAAAAATTTTCACCAAAGTAAACATATAGATATAGATATTTAATATAATAAATTTTTCTAGAACATAATTTGTGTTGTCAATACTTATTAATAAAAATTAATAATAATTATAATTTTATAAATATAAAATTTTAATTAGTGACCAAGAAATTTTACGACTTTTCGAAAAAGAGTACATGTATACTCTTAAACGAGTACGGTTGATAATTCTAGACATGACAAGATGCTGGTAAAGTAGCGTTCGTTCTTTGTCGAGGAGCTTTGTTGGCCGTTCTCGATTCGAATTCACGAGCAAATCTCGGAAGATTGACCAAAAAGGGAGCAAAATACGAAGGAAGGTAACTTCCAGATGAGAGAACGGCCAAATATTCCGACGGTCGGTAATGGTACGACGCAATAGTAAACCGTGAACTTTCTGGATCTGTTTGATCGGTAAAGATACTGCATGTCGGTAAAATTCGTGTCTGTATATCCGACATCTATATATGCGATATGTCTATACTTATATGCGGATATACATATACTCAAACAAACACAAACATTCATTTCTACTAATGTAGATTAACTTTAATCTCGGTTTTACTTACTTTTTGTCTTTTTTATTCCAATTTTTACCAATATAGATTAATTTTAATCCCTTTTATTTTTATTTTCATTTTTTTAGTTATTAAAATTAAAAAAAAATAAAGAGAAAGAACAGTTTTGTAAAGAATCTAAATTTAATTAAATGTACATTTAAAAGTATAATTCTTTAGACTATTCAAATAATTACGTAGAATGTTTAAGCTTTAATGACAATGCTGCAAAAAGTTTTACATTTTAGCAACCAGTGTCCTACATAATTATTTTTATAGTTGAAACAAAATTATTTTCAGATCTGTATCCAGATAAATTTTTAGATACGTCAGTGAAACTAATCTTTCCGTAATTGAACCGAGATTAATATTAAATTACATTAGTAGAAATGAGCATAATTTTTAGAACTCTATAATAGGAAAAGATACAAAATAAATAAGTTAACCGAGATTGAAGTTAATCTAAATAGAAATAGACGAATCTGAAATTAGAACATAAAATGACTCATAAGGTGTCTTTTAGACTATTCTTGCAGAAATGACTTTAAGACTTTTTAGATGTCTTAGAGATGTTATTTTATGTTCTAAATCTGGATACGTAATGATTTGTGAGTTTCTTTTATCTCCAAAGGATCGTATAATAATATAATAGACTTAGGCCCAGTTTTTCATTATCTGGGATTAATTTGTGATTAACTTGATGTTTCACCCAATGGGCTTCATCCATAACATCATCATAGATGAAGCTCATTGAATAAAACATCAGGTTAAGCCTAACTACAAGTTAATCAGATGATGAACAAGTAGACCTAAGAAATTCTCAGTTCTTATCATTTGTCCAGTTGAGATTTGCTTAAAAATATGTCTCCGAGCTTGAATGAATTCTTTCGGAATTATTCACAGATCTTTGCTAGATTTACAACATTGTAACTGGTTTCTGGTAAGAAAGTATCTTCGGCATCTCTCTTACCGTTGCGCAGAATGCATGTAGAAATTCTAGAGATGTGTTTAAAAATTCGAACTAGGATTGAAGACACTTGAGCCACCGAAAGAAAAAAAAAGAAAAAGCCGGCGTACTTTCTCGCCGTTTCGTGCATGCCGATGCACCCGAGCGAGTTCCATCTCCGCGAATTTCATGGAGAAGTCACGTGAAGTGACGCAGAGAAAAAAATGTATAGCATTAAAAAAAAAGGGAAAAAAATATTCGTAATTTAAAGAGATCGATCCGTAAGATAATGTATGTTATCAGATTCCGTGGGAAGCGTTTCTTTGTCGAGCTCTCGAAATCGGATAAGGCTCGCATCCGTCTGCGTGGAATCGCTATCAGTTTGACGAAAGATCTCGCGGTGTGAGACGCATAACTGTACGATTCGTAGCGTGCGTAATAACGCGTAAGCGTGATAAGATAAAACAGAATGATCGTGCTTGTTATTTAATATCATGATACGTACGAAATCCAGAGACATTTCGATACGCACACGGAGGCTCTGAAGAAACGACTAAGCCAGGCATTTTGAGAAACGACCGGTATTTTGATGATTACGAGCTGTGACCAACGCAGCGATACTCGATTTGAACGTGGATATTGCAACGCATCGGTATCGATCGTCATTACAAATGCTTCCCTAAAGGCTAATCAGGATTGCCACAAAACTGGAAATCAGAGGAATACGGGAAATTAGGAAAAAATCAGGAAATTTTGCAAAATTTTCTGGAAAATTGAAATTCTAGACTTGAAAAAATTTAATATGCGTACATTACATCTACGCAGTTTTGGAATACTACCAAATTAATAATTATAAAGTAACGCCAGTTACCAACATTAATTAATAATAATTTACATTGCTATGTTAAATTGCTCTCTTAATAAAATATTTAACGGTTTCCAAGTCAAGACGAAACTACACAAAATTTCAAAATATTATTGAAAATCGGGAAAAATCATGAAATTTTATTTGAAAAACTAAGGATAAGTTATGGAATTTTAGAATGAGGAATTTGTAGCATTCCGGCTAATGTACAGTATGCCCTTTTGTTTCTTACTTTTTGTCTCTTGTCTTTTTCTCTCTTTGCGATTATTTTATCGATAAATGTGTTTCTTATCACGTACTTCTTGTCTCTTTCGAACAAGTTCGTCAAGTTTTATCTCAAATGATAAAAACAAAGAAATAGATAGGGAATAGAAACAATAAGAAACAAAAAGACAAAAGATAAGATGTAATAAAGAAGGTAATAAGAAAAACAGGAAGCAAATTGTAGATAGTAACCTTAAATGTTGCTGCATTATATGTATATTCTTAAACGGACACTTCATTCCTAAAAATTGCCGTATGAGAACGTCGAGAATGTAATACCATCGTGCTAATCGATGAAGTAACGTTATTCTAAAATGAACACCAACCGCGAGTCGTTCTGTGACTTGGAAATGGAGAAGAGAAATTCATTGGTTATTTCATGATGCTTCGCTCCTCGAGGAATATTGTCGCGTTTCTGCTCTCGTCGCTAAAAGTTCAAGTCGGATTCGTACATCGAGCCTGACTATGTTGAAGGAGAAATCGGTTGTGACGTCGCGCGTTGCGCGTCGCGTCGCGTCGCGTCGCGTCGCGTCGCGTCGCGTCGAGTCGCGTCGCGTCGCCGGTCGACGAACGCGGCGAAAGATCGACCTTATTCTTCGCGCGCTCACCTGAAGCTCCGCTTGCGAAACGTCGATCTCGCCGCGGTAGACGAACTCGATGATGAACTTGAGGTCGTTGAAGCAGACGTCCTGCGGCATGATGATTGTCGGGTGTTTGCAAGGGTTCGATAGCAGGAGCTTCTGGAAATAGGAGCTGCAAGCTGACAACACCACCTGAACAAATGGAAAAGAACAAGATCGTTATAAGTAAATGAAGGCAACACATCGACGTTCGCGATTAAATCGCTACTTCTGATTAAATCTCGACACGCGAATCTACCGGGTAATGCGAAAGAAGCGCTCGTGCATTGCGATTGTTTTCATTTTACTTCTCGAACGTGTCGAAATTGCCAAGTAGTTCTATCGTACAAGTTTTCTCCGTTGTTTCGAAGTTAAATATCGACACTTTAATTAGCTATTGAGATATCAAGAATCTGAAAGCGTTTATCTATAAAACAAAGTATAGTGTATATACGTATATATATATATAGATGAGAATAATCTTGTCGTATCATCAAAATAATTATGTAGGACGCTCAAAGTGCAGCATTGCTCTCAAAAGCTTAAATTTTATACATTATTAATTGATGGTTCAATAAAATTATTTTCAGAAGTGTATCTATCTAGATATTTTAATAAAATCGCTCTCCTTTTCATATATATATATATATATATATATATATATGTATCTTAAGTGCTGCTACACATAAATATGACATAAACATTTAAGTAGTATTAAAATGTTTCTGTAATTATGCAGATCGATGCCGGATCAAGCTGCGTGATTATGCGGGCGTGATTATCCGCTAAGTGTCCCGTTTTGCGCAATGACTTTGAATAATTATGACAGAGCCAAAAAGAAGACAAACATAGGCGTCACTTCAAATCGACTTTGGAAAGTTATCGATATTTTCGTCAGCATCCGTTAATTCTAAATTCACTATTTTACACTTATACGATTTTCTGTTTTTCTAAAATTTAATACTTGTTCTGCTTGAATTTTCATCACTCAAGACGCATCGGGAATAATATTGTATATCATAAACGTGGTAATTTCTCGTTCTTCTTGGATCGAGGTTTGACGTTCGATTCCGCGAGCGCCGTTGATCGCAGTCGCGTCATCTCTCTCTCTCTCTCTGCCCCTCCATACATGTCGCGTATACCGGCCTACCTTGTGCGCCTTTAATGAGGCCTCATTGCACGCCAGGGTGACGTCGACGAAGGCCTCGGTCTGCAGGAGCTGGTGCATCACCGACGTCATATTCGATTGGTAGTTGTTCCAACGCAGGCAGTAGTGCTGCCCGGCCATGCCGCCGCTGCAACAGAAAAACGGAAAAGATCGATCGAGTGCTTTTTTTTTTCTTTCCCCGAGTGGCTTTCCTTTCGTGTCGACGGATTCATCGAAAAGTCATCGGCGACGACGACGACGACGACGACGACTCTAAGAGACGACGAGAATCCCCTCTTCCTCGCTTTTTCCCAAGCCGCAATAGTCATCCCCGTTGTACCGTTTCCCCTGCCACGAAAGATCGATCCGCGAAGAACGGGACAGTACCTGTAGTGCACGCCCCAATAACGATCTGTCTCCATGAAATATTGGGTTTCTTTTTCCGCCACGGCCGCCGGGAAAGAAGATATCTCCAAGAGGTTTTATGTACCGGACGGAGGACGGTATCCACGCGAGCGCGAAAGAGAGACGAGAGAAAGAAAAAGCAAACGAGAGAGAGACAGAGAGAGAGAGAGAGAGAGAGAGTAAGTAGATGGGTACAGGGGTTTTCTACACGCCGCGGGGGCAGTAAATCGCGAGTGGAGGAAGTAAGAAGAAGGCGAGAGGAATAAGACGAGCGGAGAGGGATAGAGAGAAAAAGAGATATAGGAGGCAGAAAGAGGAAAAAGATCGATCGACGTGCGGGGGATGAAGGAAAGAACGAAGAGAAGAAAGGGGAAGGAGCAGGAAGAAAAAGAGTCGCAACGGAAAGGACGTTATTTCCGGAAGTTGCGTTGCGGCGCGGCGCGAGTCGCGGGAACACAAGACAACCAGCATGCACTTTCGCGAATCTATTCCAGCGATACAGCGATACAGCGACCAAGCTGAGGCCCGACGATAACGGTCGATCGATCGATTTTCTTGGTCGTTAGCGATCGAAAGCGAGGAAAAGACGCGCGAATCGCGGATAAAAGACAGGCGGATTGGCACGCGCCGCGCCGCGCCGCGAATACGATAAGGTTCGGGCGTTGGTCTGCCCACGTCGCGACATTCACCTGTTCCGTGGACCGTGCTTTATCTGCCTCTATCTATGACTCTTTATACCGGGCCATTCCGCCTGTTATCTGTCCGTAGGAACACGGGCTTTTATCAGTTGCTTAGACGTGCGCCGATAACGTGGAAACTTTAAGCTCGCGCCTTCTCCCGCCTTCTCTCCTTCTCCTGCTACTTGCGCTCGTTTCAACGCTCGTCGCTGCCTTTCATCCGCTCGCTCGCTCGCTCGCACGCTCAAAGAACATCTAGAAAATCTTCGCGACACCTCGCTCCTATTATCCTCGTCACCTGTGATTCGGGATGTCTCACTGCGATGCCGCTACTTACGAGTCTTACGTGCAGATTACGAAAATCTGTTGTCCTCGAAACTATTGTGAACTGTTTCAACGCGGTCGTTTCAAGTACACTTAAGATTGTCCCCGATTTTCAATTCTCAATTGTCAGCTCACAATTTTTTAACCTCTCAGCTGTTAGCTTCCAAAATCAGGGTTATCACAAATATCTCGTCCTAAAATTTCATAATTTTCCGTGATTTTGGAAAATATTTTAAAATTTTTTCTACTTTCGTCCTGATTTGGGACCCGTCTAAAATATTTTGAGAAAGCAATTTAATATAGCAATGTTATAATTATTATTAACATCGCTGACACTGTTTACATTTAATTGTTAAGATGACAGTATTCCAAAATCACGCATATATATATATACACATTAAAGCCAAGAATTTTAATTATCCAGAAAATTTTGCAAAATTCTCCGACTTCCCTCTGAATTTCCCCGATAATTTTCAATTTCCCTCATTTCCATAATTTTGTGGCAATCCTGAAGATTCTAACTCTCATCGCTTATTCGACGATCCTCATCTCGCAGCTCACTTAACGTTATACTGTAAATGTTAACTCTCTAATCTTTCTTTACATCATATTTTATTGTTCGAGTTGAACGTAAACAAATGCCCTACTTCTTTTTCCCGTCCTAACCAAATTCGTCTTCCAAAACTCCAACTCCGTTCTTTTCTGTTCTCTCTTCGCCCTTCGTCTTCCCTTTTATTATCTTCCCTCTCATTGGTTGGTACCATCACATACACTCGTACCATCTGCCGTTTCTCCGGCTATCCTTCGAAAGTCCTCGATGTGGACGTGCACCTGCGAATGCTTGCAAGTAACGCACGATTGTGAATGTACGTGAGAGCACCTGACGTACTTACTTCGCCGACCTCTATCTATAGATACGTACGCGTGGCGTGCTGTTTCACCTGTATGATCGATTATTGCGAAGAAATCACAATGGTGAACATCGATCGCGTATTGCTGTCAAACTCTCTCGAAAAGTAATAGAAACGTTTCGGGGCGCGTTCGATCGTTTAATTTTAATCGGATCACTAAAATTTGCTCTCGACTTAACTTCAAATGTTTGCTATTGTAAGACTAATGGAATTCTCAAAGTTCGTATATAAGGCTTGTTATCTAACGTAACTCAATTAATCCTGGTTAAATTAATCCCCTGCTCGTTCAGTTTCCAGTTCACTTTTTCTTGATTCTAAGAAAGAAATTAATTAATTGTACCAGAATTAAGAGATGATGCTAAAATTCTTTTTCGAAGAACTTAAACTGTAATAATGTTAATATTTGTAATATTCGGGCAAAAAATGTTCGGCAATCGTCAGATATTTTTTGCATTTCTCGTTTTAAAGAGCGCAATTTTTTAAAACATTTTTTTCCTAATTTATCTATTCTTTCCATCATGTCGCAATTGCGCGATTTGCCCCTGCAAGTTCGAAAACTATCTGGCAGCGAGGAAATTTGAAAATATGTTATGTGTATTGTTAAGCCGATAATAACGGAATTCTCACTGTTTACGATATTAACTTTTATCGATATGCCGTGGACAGTTGATAAAAGGATAATATTTTTGAGAGTGATGAGGACATTTAATATATTCGAGTGTCACACTTCTTGCATCTTAAAGCAGCATCTTCCAGCTTGTTAGTTAAGAACATAATATGAAAGCAGCAATCCGTTAAATAACATTTTGCCATTTTTAACTTCCATGTGTCAAAATGTAAATTAATCCATTTCTGTAGACAGTGAACATCTAATATATGTGCATGTACTGCATGTAGTAAATAATAAATTAAATTTGAGACAAATTTAATACATTTTTTTTTTTTAGTTAAAATGTTCAACTCTTTTATTTTACTTACAATTATCGGGATTATATTGGGTAAGAATGACGGGGTTTATAGAAATAATTAAAAATAATTCAATTCGAGTACAATTTGACATTACGAATTTAACAGTGTGTATCTTTCAAGAATCGCGTAATTTTCATTTTTTTTGTATAAAACCAAAATGAACGTAGTCGAGAATCGAAGGAAACGTTTTTATTGTAGCAAGGCAATCTTTTACATTTATTTTATAAGTTTAAATATCCCAAAGTAGAAATATTTTATAAAAGTTCCTTTTAATTTACGCATACATGGGTATATTTTAAAGATCCCACTTTTATCAATTTTCAATCGAAAGCAATAGCGATAATTCTGTCATTTGCCAGGAAGCTTTATGACCTTCTCTTTGTATTTCGTCTCTTTATTCGCCGCGCGATAAAGTATTATTCGCAGAGGCGAATAGATCGCAAAGATCCATTGCGTTTTCATCGTGTCGCGTATAAAAGTGGTTCCTCTATATTCCACTACTATTCATCCATCTCGTTGTTCTGTATTCCGCAGTTTTATCCGCGACGAAATAATCTGCCGCGAATGAAATGTCGAGAAGTTTCGCGATATTTCAATCGCGCTACAAGAAAAAATGACTCTTCGTCTTCCCATATTTCGTAATTATTCATTCTACACTCCATTCGCGTTACTCGTGACGGAATAATTTGGCGCGAATAGCCGGAAAGATTGATCGCGATGTAGCGTAAAAGTGGCTCACCTAGTTTTGAGGAACATTGTTTAAGCCTCTGCGACACGGCCAACCGCGTTGATTTGAGGAGGATAATTGAGTGAAAGAAGGAAGACACGCAATTAAAGCGGCCGCGGAGAGAGAACCAGGAGAAAACCGGATGCAACGCGACGTGAAGAAACGGAGTGAGACGGGATAGTCGACGAGATGAACTCGGTACAGTAGTAAAGTTTACGATACTCCAGGATATATATTTTATGTCAAATAAACAGCATAAATAATTATTTTTATTATATAAATTCATTAATGTACACTTATATTAATTATTTGTCTATTACACTTTCTAATGTGGGAAGAAGTTGAATTTGTAATTGTAGGATCTTTATCCACAATAATATGTAAATGCAGAACTTATTAGAGAGATTGTCTTAAAAAGGAGACAAGAAATGGAAAGAATAAAGAAAAAAAGCGTATGGAGTATTAAGTGTTAAGTAAAAAATAATAAATTTTTTCATTTTCTCTCCCTGTCACGTATTATGTTTTATAATAAATTATTATTTACATCAAAAGATATGCAATATAAATAAACACATTTAAAAAATATTAAGTATAATAAATCTCGAAACAAAATCGTATAAGAATCGCGTAATTTTCATTTTTTTTGTATAAAACCAAAATGAACGTAGTCGAGAATCGAAGGAAACGTTTTTATTGTAGCAAGGCAATCTTTTACATTTATTTTATAAGTTTAAATATCCCAAAGTAGAAATATTTTATAAAAGTTCCTTTTAATTTACGCATACATGGGTATATTTTAAAGATCCCACTTTTATCAATTTTCAATCGAAAGCAATAGCGATAATTCTGTCATTTGCCAGGAAGCTTTATGACCTTCTCTTTGTATTTCGTCTCTTTATTCGCCGCGCGATAAAGTATTATTCGCAGAGGCGAATAGATCGCAAAGATCCATTGCGTTTTCATCGTGTCGCGTATAAAAGTGGTTCCTCTATATTCCACTACTATTCATCCATCTCGTTGTTCTGTATTCCGCAGTTTTATCCGCGACGAAATAATCTGCCGCGAATGAAATGTCGAGAAGTTTCGCGATATTTCAATCGCGCTACAAGAAAAAATGACTCTTCGTCTTCCCATA